AACCCAGGAGAGAGGTGGTGGTGCTTTGGGAGGAACAGTTGATAAAAGGGCTGGAGGGAGGCAGCATGTCTGGTCTAGCAGTAATAGGCCTTGGGCTATTAATGGCAATTCTGCCTTCTTCTTGTGGGATTAGAGGTCAGAACATGTGGCCTCCATGTCTTTTTTGCAATCAGTAAAGGCCCAGCTCAGGTTAGACAGCATGCTTTAGCAATGGGCCACATCAACATTGCTTCTTCACTTTCTCCAGGAAATAATCCAGGAACAAGGTTTAAAAGTCAGATACTAGAGCCCCCAACTGGCAAGATGGGTATAACTGAAGGTTAATGAAGTGCAGAGCTTTAAGGTGCTATCAGATACGGGGTTGATTTAGGAAACAGACATAGGCCACAAACTCTAGACGGGCAGAGAATTTGTCTGTACTGTTCTCTGGTGCATCCTAGTGCATACTGGGAGAGTGCATAGCTTATAAATATTTGTGTATAGACAGATGGATGGGAGGCAAGAAAGAAAGAAGGGTTAGAAGAAAAGCACATGGGACAATATGCTCCAAGGATAGAAAGAATAGTAGGAAGGATAAAATTTTTGTGGTTAGAGGACATCCTAAGAGTTCAAGATGTGGTTTTCACAGGCTCCATGACAGGCCCTGGAGCACAATCTCCACTGACTTTATCACCTATCTGTGTGGAAACAACAAGTGGAATCACAAAGGCCGAGCTGAGTTAGAAGCCAGAGTGACCACACTTTTCTATCTGTTGCTATCATGCTCAGTTACCAGAAAACTTAAAAAAAAAAAAAAAAAAAAAAACCATATTGTTAGAGAATTACTTTGAGTTCAAATGTATAAACTGATCAAACATTTTCAATGACTCCTAATGGATTTAAAAAGTTTTTTCTTGGATGGAGTATTTTACATTAAGTAATGACTGTAATCTGCAGTTTAAAGACAGTACATTATGTAAATGTGGAATTCTAATATTATCTTACCATCCTCCAAGAACTGGATATCAGATGTGTCAAGATTATGATCTGTTTCAAATAGCTGTTTCCCTAAAAGACATGAATATGTTTATTAAAATGGTGTAGTCTTCCATCTTCCCTATATCCCTTTAAAAAGTATAAGAAATCTGAAAACCTGTGTTTTTCTGCGAATTTCAATCAATTTATAAACTTCATTCGGTAGATGAGGCACATAAAATGTATTTGCATTATAAGGCATTTGATCCTGAAGAGCTAATATAACCTCTATCTCAGTTATCTACCAGATGCAACATTTTTATCAAAGATAAGCCATAGAAATCAGTTATAAACTATCTGTGAAGAAATACCATCATGTAGATATATTTTTTATTTTTGTACTAAATGCCTAAGTATATATATA